ATTGTTGTGGCTAAGGTCCTTAATGGAAGAACTTGGGATTGATCATGACAAACCCATGATGTTGTACTGTGATAATCAGGCTGCCATCAACATTGCTCACAACCCGGTACAACATGATAGAACCAAACATATTGAGGTTGATAGACACTTTATTCGAGAAAGAGTCTCCTCTGGTGAAGTGTGTCTTCCATTCATTACTTTTGAAGGACAATTGGCAGATTTCCTCACCAAGGGCATTTCCAAGGCAAGGCTTCAACMTGACACTGGCAAGCTGGGCATGATTAACATCTATGCTCAGTTTGAGGGGAGTGTAGAGGAGATGGGCCGAATGGCCCATAGACTGTCATTTCATGTTATGTAATGTTTTCCTCTGTAATGGTCCTTATTCTGGGCCCATACTCTGTAATGTTCTGTTTTTGTAATTTCTTGCCCACTCAAGGGCCTCTCTGTAATATTTCAAAGATTAACTTAATAAAATGTTTAGAGTGTTAGAGGGAGGTTTAATTCGAACCTCTCACTCTCTAACTCTCATTGCCGCCAACTCTCTCTCTCTTCTTCCTCTTAATCATCTCTTGTTTGTTTATTTTCTGGTTTGCATCTAATCTCAAGCAGTTCCATACATCAAGAGGATTGTTTTTCAACTGAAAGGAACTACTGAGCTGAAGGATTTCATACCAATCAGCTTGGTTGGAAGTGTGTACAAAATTTTGGCCAAAATTCTGGTCACTAGACTAAGAAAAGTGATAGATTCCCTGATCTCCAAGTACCAAGGAGCTTTTGTTCACAACAAGCATATTCATGATGTGGTTCTCATAGCTAATGAGCTAATTGATTCAAGGAAAAGAAGTGGGAAGAGTGGGCTGGTCTGTAAAATAGACTTAGAGAAGGCTTACGAGCATTTCAATTGGTCTTTTCTGGATTATTTGTTGGAAAAAATGCATTTTGGCTCAAGATGGAGAAGCTGGATGAAAGTATGCATATCCACTCCAAGATTCTGTGTGCTTGTTAATGGTGCAACTAGAGGTAACTTAAACAGTTCAAGAGGGTTAAGGTAAGGGGATCCCTTGTTTCCCCTCCTTTTTTTAATAGTGATGGAAGGTCTAAGTAAACTGGTAGACAAGGCTGTGGAGAGGGAGCTGTTGGAGGGTTTTGAAGTGAAGCCGAGTGGTGCTGCTATTCCTATTCTGCAATATGCAGATGATACCCTCTTTTTTTGTAAGGCATCGGAGGAACTAGTTCTTAATCTGAAAAATCTCCTTTTCTGGCTTGAGATTGTATTAGGCCCAAAGGTGAACCTAGCAAAATGGGAAATGATAGCAGTGGGAGAGGTCTCTAACATTCAGAGTCTGGCTGGTTTGTTGGGCTGCAAAGTTGGCCTTCTACCTACAAACTATTTAGGGTTGCCACTTGGTGCCAAATGCACATCCAAAGCCATCTGGAACCCAATCTTAGAGAGGGTGGATAAAAAATTGGCCACTTGGAAAACAAGGTATTTCTCCAAAGGTGGGAAGGTGGCTCTTATTAAGAGTGTTCTAGCAAGCTTGCGAACTTATTTTGTGGCTCTCTTTCCAATCCCCTTGGAGGTAGTAGAGATTTTAGAAAAAAAGATGAGAGATATTCTTTGGGTGGGCTGGAAAGACTCTCACAAATACCATCTTGTGAACTGGGGTCAGATTTGCAAACCCCAATCACAAGGAGGCCTGGGGATAAGAAATTTAAAATCCTTTAACCTAACCTTATTAGGAGGTTTGCTGCTGAGCCAGATAATCTATGGATGAAGGTAATAGCTGGGAAATATGGGCTAGATAATAGTGGATAGGAAAGTGGTTCAGATTTAAAATAGGAGATGGAAGAAGAAGGATTAGATTCTGGCTGGATCCTTGGACTGGGAAGAGCTCTCTTAAAGAGCTGTTTCCCACCTTGTTCAATTTGGCAGTTGATAAAGAGGTGCTGTTAGCTGACTCTTTTGTGCTGAGGGGTAATAGCATCTGCTGAACTCCTTTTAGAAGGGACTTTAATGATTGGGAGATTCAACAGGTAGGAAATCTCCTAGCTCTTCTCCAAGCTCAGGCTTTAAATTTACAAACTCAGGATACAAGAGTGTGGAAATGGAACAGATCAGTAGAGTTCTCAGTAAAATCCGTTTACAGCTTTATAGTGAGAGGAAATGAAGTTTCTTTTCCCAGCCGGGCCATCTGGGGGACAGTGGCGCCCTCAAAAGTTAATTTTTTTTTTTTTTTTTGTTTGGGTGGCAGCTTTATAGAAATGTCTTTCCAAAGAGATGCTGGTGAGGAGAGGCTTTATCTGCAATGACCTGAGGTGCAGCCTTTTTAGTGTGGAGACGGAATCAGTTAATCATCTGTTTTTACACTGCAAGTTTGTCTCAGAGATCTGGAGCTACTTTGTAAAGATTCTGAAATTAAGTTGGTGCATGCCTACCTCAGTTAAAGCATGCTTGGAGGCATGGCATGTACCGGGGATGACAAAGAAAGGAAAGGTTTTCTGGTCCTCCATTCCTTTGGCAATTCTCTGGGCTGTGTGTCTTGAAAGGAACAGTAGGATTTTTTTATCACAAAGTCTCCTCTGAAGCTGAGATCATCAACATGGCCATAGGGTTTACTAGAAGTTGGTTGTCTATACTTACAGATTTTAAAGATGATACATCTGATTGTACTTTTTTGAGGATGGCCTTTTTTTGAAGTCCTTCTAGTTTGTTTTTGTACAGCTTCTCATTGTACAAAGGACCTTTCGATTAATACAATCATACTTTACCTTTACAAAAAAAAAAAGCTGTAAAAGGTGTGCAACAGAAGCATCTTATGGTGGAATACATTTAAACATGGGAGAAATCTTAAATGAAGCATAGAAAACATTTATGGTGGAATTGTTGCTTTTATGTGCAAAATGAAAATCATTGATTGGCATATTTATCTTTCCATGAGCTTCCTTTCCCATTGTAATTTTGTTGTCAAGCTGAAACATTACTTTGCAAATGAAATTTGGACACGGAGATAGAACTTAGAAGGAGCATGTCTTACTTGGCATACATGCATGGTACCATGGTGGAATTGTTGATATTGTGTGCAAAATGTTAATTATTGATTGAAACCTTTATCTTTTCATGCTTTCCCTTTCCCATTGACTATCCAAAATGAAGGCAACAAATTGAAATGTGAATGGGATTCAATTGATGTGACCCATAAGAATTTGCTTTCTCTTCTGCTAACAGTCTAATAAGTACAGTTACCCCACTCGACTGCAAAAAACAATAAAGGCTGTAACTTGAGACATATGAAAGCTTTGCTTAATTTGGGAATTTTGATTTTTAGTCATAAGTCCAACTATCAATCAATAAAGCTTCCTCTACCGGTGGTCCATCCATGTCTCATGCAGTTCTTCTTGCCTGCATTAGCATTATCTGTTCAGCAGTATGTTAATTGCACTAGAGATCTTTCAAAGACTCTGATAATAAGTACAGTTACCCCACTCGACTGCAAAAAACAATAAAGGCTGTAACTTGAGACATATGAAAGCTTTGCTTAATTTGGGAATTTTGATTTTTAGTCATAAGTCCAACTATCAATCAATAAAGCTTCCTCTACTGGTGGTCCATCCATGTCTCATGCAGTTCTTCTTGCCTGCATTAGCATTATCTGTTCAGCAGTATGTTAATTGCACTAGAGATCTTTCAAAGACTCTGATATCTTGATGAAATTGAAGTTTGCAATAGAAGGGAAATAAATAGAAGTAAAATAGGAGCAGGAGGAAGGAAAGTTCACTGTGGAGTAAGGTGCTTGCGCATGCGCGGGGGAGGGGGGTGTGGAAAATTTGTCATTTATGTTCTTTGCTAGATCAGACTTAGGACTCTTCCTGCTTCTGGAATTCCATGCATTTAGAAGAATAAAGGCCTGGAGCGTTTTACTTGTGTAAGGTTTTCCTCAATTTTAGGCTTTATTTGTTTCTTGTAGTTTCTTGCAGTCCTTTTATAAATTTAGCTGTTCACTTTTAGAGCTTTTGGTCATCTTAAATCATGTGGATTTACTTGTATATTAGATATGAAGTAGGTAAACTGGTGAATAAAAGAAATGTGGGGCATTGATCCTACTTCCTCAACATTTTGCATCTTCCTACAAGCTGATAATTTTTCCTTTTTTTGTTTTTATTATTTTTGCACATGGACCATGCAAATTGATCATGTTGCAGTTAAGTTGTTCCTTCAATGATGAAGTATTCATATATTTTCATTTTCATTTCTTCATTTTAGTCTAACCCTCAATTATTTCCTTGTATCAACAGGGATTCTCTCATTTTGGTCATGTATATGGGTTAAAAAATGCATGGCTTGAAGGACCACTTCTATTCAAAGGATTTTGTTTTCTTGAATCACCAAATGATTCTCTCTCAACCAGATTTAAATCTTACTTATGTTTCTTTAGTGCCAAAGATTCTAAAACTGAGTTTGGAGATGAGGGAAAGTCATATTTGGAGACTCCTAAGAGAAGGCCCCCTAATGGGAGACTGTGGACCAATGTTCTCCTTGCACTCAATATCTTGTGAGTTTATACTTTTTCATAATAAAATGTAATATGGGAATACGTGCTTTATGAATGTTATATCTTGTCTTATTTAACCTGTTTATTAGCAAAGTAGGTTTACTTTTAGTTGTTAGATTTCCTTTTTCAATTTTTTATGATGTGGATTATCCAATATGCTTTGTCCATCTTCTGGTTATGGTGTAAATCATGGTAAACAGTGCACTGCATTTCTTTTACCTCTTCAAACAAGTTTTTTTCATTTGTCAATGCCAATGCAGCTACATTACTTTACAATAAATTAAAGGAGAACCAATAAAGCAAACTAATTCTTTATGTATGATAAGTTCCTTTGATGTATCTTTATTGAACTTCTTATTAACATGTTTTCATTTCTTATTTCACTTGCACTTGGTGTGATATCTTCTTTCCCTCGAGAGATGCCATGTCCCACTTGTTGCCCTGGAGAAATTTGCTATAACCATGGATCCAAGGCTAAGCTGTTATTGTATGTTTGGAAACTATGATCTAGAAAGATTATTCATGTAATGTTTGGTGCTTAACCTCTGTTTCCCATTTTTCAAATGTTCTAAAACTTGCCTATCTCTAAAGATAAAAAATGTTTGTAGTCATTCAAATGGAAACCAAATAAAACATTATAAGGACAGTAAAATTTGAGAGAAAGAGTTCTAGACAGAACTAACATGCATTTCTGGATTGATCTGTGAGTTGTGCCTTGGTGATGATCACTTCTGTTTTTCTGGTTGCAAGTCCTTTATCAGAAGGTGGTTTTATCTCCTTCTGTATCCCTTTTTGGGTGCTTAGAGCCAATTAGTGTTATGGGCCCGGGCGTAGGATCTCGTCACGGGTCGGTCCACGGGGAGAACCTCTTGCTTTCCCTTGCGCCTTCCCTTGCGTGTAGACCCTATTGTGGGAAACCGAATGGGTGATTTGTCCAAGAGACCACCCGAACTCTCCGAATGGGTGATTTGTCCAAGAGACCACCCGAACTCTCCGAATGGGTGATTTGTCCAAGAGACCACCCGAACTCTCCTCACTCTTCTCTTCACTGGAAAACTGAATGCCTTTATTTCAACTCATATCTCCTTAAATAGGAGATTACAAAAGGGGGTTCCTTGTTGGATTCGGCTAGGCTAGTAGGGTAATCCAATTCAAACTCAAACTCCTAATTACCTACTCCTAATGGTAACACAACTCTTACTTAAGAAGATAAGATAAGATAAGGATAAGGGATGAGGGATAATGCATAGCTGTTGTGGCAAGATAAGGGTGGGCCTACCCTGATGAGCTGTCATGTGGGCCCTGCTCTGCGGCTGCTGCCGGGTGGTGCGTGCGTCTCACAGTGCTGCTGCCTAGTGCTGCTGCCGCGCGGTGCGTGCTGCGCGCTGCCGGGCGGTACGTGCTACTGTGCGTGGTGGCGCGCGCTGCTGTGCGTGCTGCCGCCGGGCGGCGGTTGGTTAGGCTCGCCCACGAGTGTGTCTACTACTTCTGTGTCTGTAACAATTTGATAACTGCTGAAGTGGCTGAACGGAATGACTTGTAATTTTGTGTTTCAGTGGATAATATTATCAAATAATAAGATATTCTAAAGTATATTAATCAACCCAAGGGAAGACATAAACTGCTGAAGTTTATGTCATACTGGGTGGAGCTTCTTGTTAACTGGCCTATGCTACTAATTCTGAGATTAAGAAGGTTTATTTTACTGTATTGTCTTTTCTATCACTTGTCCTTTGCTGTATAGCCATGTGAATTTCATCATTATTCGGTGATCTCCCATGACCAGGGTTTATGTTGTACAAATTGCAACCCAAGGGAAGCTGTTACTGTGGGGTGCTAAGGTTAGAAAACCTTAAAAGTAAATGTCCATAATTCATTTTCATGCAGAAAATTCCTTTTTCACACTCATCTCATCTCAGCTTTATCAGTTCACTATGTATGCAGATTAATAGCCTCATTGATAAGGGACAATTATGGCGGTTAGCTACTTCATCTTTTTTACATGGAAATGTTGGGCATCTCATGGTCTGCTTTAAGGCTTGCTCCCTGGAATTTCTGAATTATGTTTGCTGTTCTTTTATTTTTATGGTAACCTTCAACGTAAAAGTCAATTTTGTTTTCAGGTCAATTGCTATTCTTTGAATTCTGTTGGTCCCATGATGGAGAATATCAGTGGCCCCAGGAGATTTCTTGCTGTTTATTTCACTTCTGCAATTGCAAGTAATCATTTGTATACCTACTAAATAGAAGATGAAATTGCTTAAGCTTATACCAACAACTCATATTCTTAAGAAAATCAGGTTCAGCGATGAGTTACTGGTTTTGCAAAGCACCTGCAGTTGGTGCGTCAGGGGCCATTTTTGGATTAGTAAGTTCTTTAATTCATATTTCTGTAGCTTCCTAGTTGTAGGAACTAATTTGTTCAGAAACAAGACTAGCTGCTGAACTAGCCAGAAGGTTGTTTGAAGATAAAATGTTAGAAATTGTTGAAAGAAAGAAAAACTGTTTTCAAGAAAGGGGATAGACCTGAACAAGGATTTCAGAATTCCTATGTTATTTCATGAAGAGCTCTTACTATTTTATTCATCTGTGAAGCAAAATTAGTTAGCAATGCTTGTTAATGGGTCATGACTATTTTTTTATTTGAAATATGAATTTTAAAAATTAAAATTTGGTGAATAAGGATTATACAAGTCCAGCTTGAAAAAAGATACCCTTAATAGAGTATCGATTAGTTTTTTTTGTGTTGAAGGATACATTTGTTGGTTGTAATTCTTAAGCAATAAGGACTTGTATTCATTAACTATGATCCATCATCAATTCTCTTCTTTATTTTCTTTTGTTCAGGTTGGGTCATTTGCAATGTTTGTCTTGAGGCATAGAAATCTTTATGGGGGTGGGAACCAAGAATTACAGCAAATAGCAAATGTGATTGCCCTAAACATGGTATGGTTCTCACTTGACCTTTTGAAATAATTTATGTCTTAAAAATCATGGTTGGAATACTCTGTGAACCAACTCATTCTGTGAATCAGTACACTACTTATTGCTGATAAAAAAATCAGTATACTACTTATTTCCAGCTTATCAATTCAAGATTGTTTGCTCCCCAAATTCTAGGGAATTTTGGGGCCAATTGTTCTGATTTGTTGGATGACTTGGTCTGTCGGTCAGGTTTTCAAATCAACAATGGCCTTTTACAACGGGATCTAGACTGCTGTATATTTCTTTTAATGTTTGACGTGTTTTATGCATGAATTATAAATTTTCCATGTCACCATGTGCACTGACCTGACTCAGGTTTCTATTAGATGGATGGAGAAGTTAATTTCAAGTGACATGGTTTCAAACATAATGCTAATTACAATATAACCTTATTGCAGATGATTGGGATTTTATCCAAAGGCATTGATAATTGGGGACATGTAAGTTCATTCAGTGTAAATTTTTAGCATTTTCAGTTTTTTAAGCATTTTGTGATTTCTGACAATAAATTTACAGTTGGGAGGTTTTCTTGGTGGAGTTGCCACATCATGGCTTCTGGGCCCTGCATGGAAGTATAAATCCCGGTCCAATGATGGAAAATTGGTTTTTTCTGACAGTGCACCAATTTTCTATCTTATTGATAGGAAAAGAGCAACTTAGTAATCCAACTTAATTGTGAGTCTGTGACCCTCATCAGCTGCATTTTGCCAATACATTTACCACCGATGCTATTTTCATCTTTTCTTTTGGAATGTTGAAAATACAGCATGTGCAAGCAGAATATGTTCACACCTTGTTAGTGGAGTTAAGATGAAGACCATGAATAGAAATGGAAATATAAAACAGCTTGTAACAAGGTGTAAGGTACACTAAGCAATGGGACTACAACAAATTGAAATAGAAGGGGATTTGAAAGTAATAGGATGGCTGCAGTCAGGTTGTTTGGGTGCATAGATACATTGGCAACTGATGAGGGAAATTATCAGCCTAACAAGGGGGATTGATGCTTGCTTCAAGTGGATAAGAAGATCAGCTAATGGATTAGCACATACCTAGCAAAACAGGGGATTGTTGGGGGGAATATGTTTTGGGCAGTGTTGTAACTCGGTGATTGTATTCCAAACCCCTACACTAGGGGTGACAGGTGTATTTTAAAATCTGTTTAACGAAGTTACTGTTTCCAATAAAAAATCTTTTTCTCTTAAATCTTCTGTAACACTGTATAATGTCAGGTCTATTATCAGGGGTCATGATTCATTGTGTATTGTAATTTTAACATTGTATTAATTCCTTCCACTTAAGCTATTTTTTATCATATTTGGATCCAGATACATCACATTTTCTGTCAAATAAGTCAGGCAAAATGTAGGGACACATTGCTTGAATGGGTCCTTGATATGCTTGCTAAGAACCATTCCAATCTTCTGATGTTGATTATTAGATGTCTCATTTCCACGTTATTTTTTGGGTAGACAACTAAAATTGTTCCATGCACTGGATTCCATTGCTTGATTCTCTAGCCACGCTCTTCTGATTGCATTTTCTCCATGAAATAGCTGCACTGTGCTTTCTGATCACCTAAGGTGTGGACGGTCATGAAAGAATTTTTCCATTTGGTGACTTAAAATGATAGGGGGTGATGGTGAAATCCTGGACTGACTAGTCTAAATTTTTGAGGGTGGTAACTTCATGCAAAAAAATGCTGGAGGTTATCTGTTAGTAACCTTACTGAAAATTCAGGGGGCTGCATCTGCACCTTTCTTGCCCCTTCTACACACTGAAACAAAAGGAGCCAGAACAAAAAACATTACTGAGTATAGCAGTTCAAAGAGGTGGGTTTCTCTTGAGCTGCCATGTTGATTTGTCCATGATGCAACTGATTCGGCTATAGATGCTTCAGAACTTCTAATTAAAGGATAGGCCGAAGGGAGGGACTTAACTCTTTTCCATCAGACAAGGGGGATGAGAGATAAATGCATACATTTCTTTGGGATGCTATCTCAGTTGCCACTTGGCAAAGACTTGGAGACTTGTGGCAAAAATCAGCTTGATCAAATATTCAAATGGACATTAACGTATGACCAACGTATTACTGCTGATGCCTTATTGATTTAAATTTTTTGAGCAAGCCATCAAGGATATTTGGAGTTTTGTTTTTTCTTCCGAAAAGCTTAAGGTCTTGTTCTCTTTTTAGTAAGTTATTTACTTGGGTAAATGCAATTATTTGGGTAAGTTTTTCTTGGGAAACACTTGTACGGGTAAATACATTTATTCATGTTCTTTTATTTTTCAAGTAAATAAGGCAATGACCATTTTAATCATAAATATCCATTATTAAAAAAATGCATTTTTGTCCCATTCAAGTGTTGGCAATTTTACCCTAGGTGGAAAAGTTATTTATCCACTAGGCCACCTATGTACCACTTACCCGGGTAAACGATACCTAGGAAAATAAATTTTTCCTAGTCCCCACATTAATCTGAAAAAAGAACATGGGATTCTTGGTCAATGGGAACCAAAATCCCATTGACCAACTTTCCTCCCTCTCAAAATCCAAAAAAAAGAAGAATACCCCAAGGCTAAATTCATTCACCAATAGAATTCATCTCATAACTATTACATGAGAAATGAAGGAGTGAGGAGAGGACCAAGAATTCAATTACAAGACAAACCAAATTTTGCTAAATTATTAGCAGCATATGCTAAGCTTCACTCATTACCCTCATAGTCTCATTTTTTTTTTTTTTTAAGTATGTATACCGAAAAAAATCTTTCAGTTTTCTTTATCTTCCTTTTTATTAGATTTATTTTGAGCTCTCTAGATTTTATTTTTTTGAAGCCCTATTGTTAATCCATCAAAATGTTGCAATGTATCAATCCATATCATAGATAAGCGGATATTTGTCTTGGCTTTGGTGCAGCAGGTCGTAAAAAGTTAAATTTAATAACATATTATTAACTTGTATCTTTACCTTGCAGACACCGGTAACTAATACTATTTTCTTAAGAATTTAAACTTTTAAAAAGTTTCAATTATTAATAATTGTTGTACATATAGCCATATCTATTGATAACTTGTTGAAATTTTGAACCTTATTTAATTATTATTATTATTTTTTAACTCCGTGGAACTGCACATTAGGGGCCAGCCTATCCCCCAACCCATAACCTGTCAACCTTGGTACAGGTCAAGGTGGATTTACCACTTAACTCGGCCATTGATATTCCTATCATTATTCACCAAGATAAGAGCAGAGGATTTCTTATTTTCTTGCTTTGATGTGATTTGAAAAAAAAAAAGAGAATTTTATGAAAATTACTGTTATTGGTGATGTGAAATAAAATCTTTACAAAAATTTTCCTCCAATAAGAAGTCGCCTCCACTAGGTCGTCTTTATACTCAACCTCTACCCAACTGTTTATAAAATAGCTTTTAGACATCCAGTAGCCTCTCAATTAATTGTTCTTATTGTTTAGGATAACTTCATTAAGGTGATTTTTTTTCTTTATTTTGTTTGTTTTTATACTTTTTATGTTGCCAATATATAATTTTTTATATCTGATTTTTTATTTTATTTAATTAATCATTATCCATTTGGGTTTTGAACAGCATAATTCTGAAAAAAAAATCATTTGCAATAAGAAATAGCACGGAGAAAGATATTATTTCTTATACATATTAAGTTATTAACCATGGAGTGTGGGGGTGGGGGTGCAACTTGGGCTGAGCCTATTCAAAATTTGACAAAAGCCTAATCGAGCTCGCCCAAGTTGTATCCCTATGAATGAGTCCATTTTCTGGCCCGGTCCTTTCCAGTTTCTACTTAGGTAATTAGACCGGCGGTTGGGCACTTAGGCCTCTATTTCAGGGCCATCGTGGCCTGGTTCAGTGGTTCTCCTTATACTTGCCGGCCTGTACTTGGCCTGAGCCTGCGATGATAACGCTAATATATATATATATATAGATTACCTTGCAGCCGCAGACGCAGTCCCGCGCCCGCCCAAAAAGAGTTGGAATTTGGAAAGAAGCCAAGAAAGGCAAAAATAATGGCAATTACTGCAGCAGGAGCAATGGTAGCAGTTCCATCATCCATGGCCTTTCGTGCTCGACAAAGAGTTAAGTGCTTATTCACCCCATTGGCGTCCTTCTCAGGCCAATCTTCTCCCTCTCCACCCTCAAGGAAGCTCGTTCTCTACACCAAACCAGGTTGCTGTTTGTGCGATGGCCTCAAAGAAAAGCTTCAAGCGGCTTTTTTACTTGCCGGCCCAGATTCCCTCCACGATGTTCATTTGCAGGTTCGTCCCCATGCTTTCTTCCTTTGTTTTTTCAAATTTAGATCTTTATATGCGTTTTGTTTGATATGTTTCTTACTTATTTTGTCTATTTTATTGAGTAGATAAGAGATATTACCACCAACCCCGAATGGGAAAGGTCTTACCAGTATGAGATACCCGTTCTGGCCAGAATTCGTTCTGATGGAACTGAGGTCAGCTTCTGCCCTTTTACAATTTGGGTTGCAGAAATATACTCTTCTGAATCGTGGATTTTACAGAAATTGCGCATTCGGTCTTGCATTGTTTTGATGTTTACATTATCTGAACTCGACTTTATGAACAAAATGAAATAAAATTGAACGAGCTGTCTGATTGTTGGATTGAATTCGATTAATGATATCGTGGAATTTATTTATAAAACAAAACGATATTGTGGAAGTTACCATCGATTTTTTCATGGGTGCTGCTTTTGTAAATCTCCTATATTTGAGCTTCGGGGGAATGCATTCGACCACTTCATCATCCATATTCTGTTTTTATTCTTAAATAGTTGTGGACTGTGTTTATGCTAAGATTATAGTTGGCTGGCCTTTCCTACCCTTATAAGTCAATCATGCACGAGTTCTAGAATACTTGTAAGACAAAGACATTGAAGCTAAAAGAGCTGAAATATCTCATATACTACATGATAAGTCCGTTTTTTTTTGGTGGGACACAAAAGAGGAAATCAGCTACATGACTTTGGTAATTAGAGTTGTAAACTATTTGCATTTGGTCCTTACAAGCTAGATAAGAAAAAAGATGGGCCAGTCTATTACTATTTCTATTTATATGAACAAAAGAAATAGATTGGAGTGATCGCTTCAATCACTGTATATGGGCCCATTGAAGTTGCTCTGTCCATGTAGTGGGCCTTTCTTTTAGATCCAAAAAGTCCACTAACTGCTTCCAAACTACAGACTAAGGCACGAAGCTCTTCATCATAGCTCCCAAACACATAGCACTTTTTTCCCTCTGCAATTGTGGTGCTGCTACCAGGACAATGGAGGATGAGACTTTGACCTGCAAAGTCTGTAACAGGACCACATGAACCATCAATATGTAAAGTTGCTTGAGGTAGCTGGTGTGATGAGTTTGCCGACTATGGAATTGCCACACTTGGTTGATTAAGCAAATCCTGTGGTAAATAGCTATGAAAGGATTAATGAGGCCCATCCTGCTCGTTGGTTTTCAAGAGGAATGTTGTTGCAAATAGAAAAGTTAGAGAAACAGAGAAAACATCGAGATATTCTGGTCTCAAAGGCTTTTGCTAGACTAAAAGGGAGTGTCTTTGGGATTAGACCAAACAAGAAGATCTTGAAGATCAATAAAGCCTCAAGATGTTTTTAATGTCAGAGTCTTTTAAATTTGCAGTTCTTGAGGGTGCTTTGTTGAGATTTGTGAAGAAAGTTTTGTTTGTTGTCGCGGGGGGACGATGTGTTCTTTGTTGGTGCAACCTTTGGCCTTTGGGAGTCAAGCTTGTTTTGAGTTTCTTGGGTTTTTGGTTGTTGTGTTTTGATTTTCATCCTGGGTTTTGGGTTTTGCTTGTTTGTTGAGGTTGTGTCTAGTCTAGGATGGTCTTGGAGTTGTTGTTTTGCTTTCACTTTTCCTCTCTCAAGTGACTTCTGGTCACTCTCCTTTGTACTTTTTTTTTTGTTTTAATAAATTTTATATTTATTGCAAAAAAAGCTATGAAGCTTCTTCAGGATTTCATGTGGCTGCATTTGCAGGTTATCATGAATTTTCCTGTTTCTTGCCTCCCTTATAAGGTATAAAACTATACAAAATTTGCTAAAAAATAAGTTGATTTCCTATTTGTTTAATTGAGGTTGTAGCATATTTAACCATTGTTGAAGAAGAATGTGCAGTGGTTTCTGCTCCAACACATCAGGATTGATGCCTAGCTGCACCCAACACCAAATGACCCAAGCAAATGGGCAAGTAAAAAAGAGATGATTAAATGTTTCCTCTTGAATCCTGAAATGGCAACATGTTCTGTCATTTGACGATAGCCATTTTACACATTTTTCCTTTGTCAATATCCCATTCCGTAATGCCTTACCAAGTGAAAAAGGATTTTTAACTTCCACAACAACCTCCAATTAAAATGTGAAGAGAATGATGAGGGTAATGTGTTGATAAAGGATTTGTATGCTAATTTTACAATGTAGCTACCCGAAGAGTTTCTCTTCCAAATGATTGCATCAAGGTATAAGTCATGTTGAATACTAATGAGGGTAAAGTAATTTATTCTGGAAGTATCAAAGTAATTTTGGAGCTTAGCTAGATTCCGTGAACCATTGGATTTAGAAGATCAGAAACACTTAGCTGGTGATTACTGCTATCAACATTTTAGCGTGGTTTAGGTATATCACCTTGGATGGTAGGCACCCATGGATCCTTGAAAGCTGATATGGAGGAGCCATCCTTGATCATCCATAGTAGGTTTTGCTTTATTTCCGCAAGCAATCTATGTGCTTGTTGCCACCTTGGAGAAGTGCGATGTCCTTTCTTAGTTAAAAAGAGGTTGTATTTGGAAAATACCTTTCTTTGGTTAATTTACTCCAAAGGTTATTCTGGTTGGTTGGTAGCCTCCAAATTTGTTTACTAAACATGGCTTTATTCATCACTTTACTGTTTCTGAAGCATAATCCTCTAGTTATGGGGAAGCATAGTTTTTGCCATGGAATAGTATGTTTGACACTATGTTCTCCTTTCCACTAGAAATTTCTAGAGTATTCATCACTTTACTGTTTCTGAAGCCTAATCTTCTAGTTATGGGGAAGCATAGTTTTTGCCATGGAATAGTATTTTTGGCACTATGTTTATCTGCTTTCCACTAGAAATTTGTAGAGTATTGATCTAATTGCACATGAAAGCTGTTAGATAAAATTTTAGAAGACATAGAGTAAGTGGGAATTGATTGGATAATGTGGTGTGACCTGCTTGTGGTAGGAGTTTAGAACTCCATAAATTAATTCTAGTGTATACGATCCAATAATTCCTTGTGAGATAGTTGGTCATTGGGTTTGAAGCCAACCATTGAGTTTAAGTACTTGGTGCCCTTCATTGATATTTTGACTTGAAGACTTTGGGTGATGAACTTTTGATGATGTCGAGGCACATTTGGCTGAACATCAATCATAATTGATCTTTTGCCCTAATAAAGATTCAAAGAGTTGGAGTGCTCTTGAAGGCCTTTAATTTGTTGGAGATGAACCTTGTAGAACAGTATGCAATCATCTGCAAATAGTAGATGTGTTATTGGGGTTCCATTTCTGCACAGTTTAATGCCCTCTAGTTGCTTCATAGAAACAACTTGTTGTAAAAGCTGAGTACTTCCATACCAATTATAAAGAGGTACTGTGACAAGGGTTCACCCCGCCTTAGTCCTCTTTTGAGGTGAAAATGACCATATGCTTCTCCTCCTAGCTTGATTGAGAAAGAGGGGGTGGATATACATTGATGTATGAGTTTAGACCACTTAATAGGAAATTTCATTTTGGAGAGCATCACCTGTAAGAACTGCCAGCCCATCCTATCAAAAGCTTAAGACATGTCAAGCTTAAGAGCCACATTTCCTTTGCCTTTTTCTTTTCTGAGTTTTTCTCATTAGGCATAAAGCCTCCTTGACCAGAAGGATGTTGTCTGCAATCTGCCTATCCTTCAAAAAACCGGACTGAAACTATTTATCAAAAAAAAAAAAAATTGGTTGCAGTGTTGTTACAATCCATTTTGAGATGACTTTGTACAAGACATTGCAAAGACTTGTAGGCCGATAGCTTGATGGATCTATAGGAGTTTTAGGAATAAATACCAGGTTGGTTTTGTTGATTTCTTTGGGCAAGAGTTCTAACTCATAGAAATTAATCACCATGTCAAAAACCCCATGACCAATTAGACTCCAAAAATATTGATAGAAGAAAGTAGTAAATTCATTAGGCCCCAGAGCCTTGTGGGAAGTCTTTGTTCTGCTCTAGATGTTGTTACAAAATTCATCCCCATAAGTTATAATTAGTTTCAAACTAGCCTCTTTTCTCCCTAGATGAAACTTTTTTAAATCGTAGCCAAATTCACATGGTAGTATAGCTCAAAACTCTTTGTGAATTGCTATTTCTTGTTAATATACTTATGCATGGTCTCAGTTTGATAGAAAAATCTTACATTTCATGTCTCTGTTGCAGGAAACACTTCCAAGATTGTCTCCTCGTCTTGGAGTTGAGCTCATCCAAAGGAAAATTGCATCTTCATTGAAAGAATAGGAGACATTAAGGTTCTCTGTGTTAGCAATAATTATTGCAGTTTTAATCTTGTCTTTCAAATGAATGTCTCAAATGAGGAGCCATCTGTAAAGAAATCTTTGTGTTAAACTTAATTCTGTATGTTTAGTAGATCAATTTTCATGTTTTTTTTCCAGCGTTTCATAAGCTCATCGTTTTTTCTTATATGGGTCCTTTTTACCAACCATTTCCATGCTCATCCCTATTGCTGTCTGCTGATGATTATGGACATAGAATTATACTCTTGGATTAGAGATTAACTATTTCGTTTTGCTATGCACAAATAGTTGAATTTGAATAAACAATAATTCACACTTGAATTTAAATGATTTGCATTTTACTTTTATCGTTAAAAATGTAACTGGAATCATGATTACCAAAGTTGGATGGTGCATATTAGTATCAGTTGAATGCAAGATCTTGTCTTTCCAGAGCACTTTGACTTGCTTACCTTGGGATGTTCTGCAAGTTTTGATGTTCATTTTCTGACAATTTTTAGTCTGAGCTAATCCAGAATCCTGAACTCCGATAACTAATTATCTAGATAATTGCACCTTTTGATAACATTATTGAATCAGATGACTCTGATGAGTGCTTCTTTACAAAGAAATGCATTATAAAAAAAAAAAGAAATGGATAGTTTGTGTTTCTTTGCAATGGCATTTCATCCAGATAGATGCAACCTATATTAAAATTAAGCATCTAACATGGATACAGAACCCATTTTGGAGTATCTTGGTAATACATGTGATATCGACAAGAAAATATACATCATCATCATTTCAGCCTTGTCTTGACCATATGGGGTCAGTTACATGAATCTTGTTCACCCTTCCATTCTATTCAATGTCATATCCATTTTTAAACTTTGAACCTCTTAACACCCATGTCCTTTTTGGTCCTACCACAAAATATCCATGATTCTCAAATATCCTCACATGCATTTTTTTGATAAGTAAAGGGATAAAATTTGATTTTTCCTGGCCTCAAAAGTTGGCACGAGGGAACTCAAAGGAACAAGTCCATTTTTTCTTCACTCGTTTATGAAAGTACCTCATAGCTAGACCAAGATCGATGTCATTCATTTTTTTCACTTCCTTTTAATTCATTACTTTCTTGTTGCCACTTACAAGTAATTGCCATTATAAACAATGGAGGAATTTGACTTTGGCGTGTGAGCGTTTTGTTCCTAAAGATGCTGTTTTTGCCTGGCAAAGTAGTTCCTTTTAGGAGAAATTACTTCATAGGATCCTTCCAAGACCCCAGATAGCTGGGACCAACATTTGGTATTCACCTTTTTTACTGTCACCAGAATATTTCTGGCATTGATTATCTCATGATCAATGTCCAGATTCGTTGCATCTATACTTATGCCCATGTTATGAATCATGGAGGCAGAAAAGATGTTATGGGCTACGGTTAGACCATGGACTACAAACTTTGGATGGAAGTGATTTTACTGAAGAGATTCCTGCCTATGGGGTTGGCTAGTTCAATATTCATCATGCTTTCATTATCTGTAAGGTTGTGTACTTCGTGCCAATCCTTCTTCTAATGAATAAGTCCCTTCATGGATTTAGCTTAGCTTGTTATTCCATATAAAGAATGCTAATTGTGAGCAGCCAGTATTTTTTTGGGATTAATTACTTATGTATACCCTGAGGTTTGAGGAAACTACTTATATATACCCTGTAGTTTCAAAAACTACTTACATAAACCTTATAAGGTGGGTCCACATAACAAAAACAGGCCATCTGTTAACATAATATTTAGGACTGTTTCACATGGCCATTAATTTTTCCATAATCCCATGTTTATTCTCTTCTTCCCTCCCTCGCTCTCCTGACCGAACAAACCAGAGTGGCAGCATTTCTCCCGTTCTCTCTCCCTCCCCTCTTCCTCTCTTCCTCCTTTGCTTGCCCCTCTTCCTTTTCTTGCACCCTGTGTTTCCCGCTAGAAGATGAAAAAGAAATGGGGGCACAATCAGTTTTGATTAACTTTTACAAGGGGCACACCTAAGATAAGACTTAAAAGAGGACTTCATAAAAACTGAAGGAGCACACCATTTCGAAGGTAGGGAGGCATTAATCCCAATTCCTTTCAGGGGCGAGTTCTCTCTGTTCAGAGACCTTAGCAGCGGCACCAATAACGAAAGGGATTGAGATTAGAGCCACCATTTCAGGGGTGAGTTCACTGTTCGGTGACCTTAGCAGCTGCAGTGGAGCAGGGAGGAAAGGAGGACGGAAGAAAAAAATAAGGAAAGGGCTTATCACTATCAGCAGAGGGAAGATTTATTGGCTCACAGTTTTCCATGCAGTATTGTGGGAAATTTGGGAAAGGAAACAGTCTGGTTTTTGAAAATAAGGCGGGGACTGGAAAATTTGTTTTCCTATATTACTTTTGCAACTTGTGGACAGCTAGCTCAGAAAAGTTCAAAGGAATGCAGTACCCTACCTTCTTTCTGCCTCCCCAAGTACTCTGACTATTTCCCAAGGTCCCTATACCCTGCAATAAGGAGATAATGAAGCTAAACTTTGATGGAAGTGCCATAGGTAATCTGGGTGCTGCTGGTATTGGGGGGATAATCAGGGGGATAGATGGTTTTATTTGTTGGGTTTTCAATAGGGACTGCTGATTCCTCCAAGGCTGAGGTGATGGCAGCTCTTACTGGAACCCATTGTACTAGAGAACTGGGCTGCTCAAGGTTAGACATTGAAGGTGACTCTGTAAAGTCAATCAGATGGTACCCCCACCATCTGATGGAGGCCAGAGACATCTTGAGCTAGATGATTACAAATCTCACTTGGATTCCTAGGGAGCTAAACTCTTTAGCTGATGGTCTAGCAAAATCTGGAGTGCACAAGGAGTGTTTGTATAGTGAAAGAAGCTTGCCCTTGTAATTTTGTGTGCTGCTTTTTGTGCTGTATATCTCCTCATGTACTTGCTTTTCTCTTAATAAAATTTTATTACTCTTTCTCAAAAAAAAAAGGAAGAACAAATAGGGAAAATGGAACAGAGAAGAAGAGGATGGGAGAGAGAGAAAAAAAAAGAGGGAGAAATAGGGACGAAGGCCAGTGCTGTTGCTCTTGTTCGGTGGTGTTTGCAGCTTCAAAGAAGAAAAGAGAATTTTGAAAATTTAATGAACAGTAAATGACGCTTTTGTCCTTTAGTTTCTGACAGATATAACGTTTGAAAGGTCAACAAGGTCTATGTAAATAGTTTTTGAAACTACGGGGTATATATAAGTAGTTTCCTCAAACCTCAGGGTATATTCAAGTCAAAACCCTTTTTGTTATTAAGCCTACAGAAGCAACCAAAAGATGCTGTGAAACCCAAAAAAGAAAAACCTTGGGTTAAATGGAGTTTGTAGGCTTGAGGAATATTTCTTCTGTACGTGCTAGGGATCCTTCCTGATTTTTCATTTGAACTGTTGTGCAAATTTTGGATTTACCTGCAAAAGATATCATGCTATTTGGACAAGGAAAAGAGGAAGTAAAAGATCAGAGCTCACAAGGAAGATGTCCAGGAGAAATGTTATTAATTATACTAATAAAAAAGATGGTTTGGTTGATGGGTAAAAATGTGGGGAATAACCGAATAAGATGCTACCATGGTTTTCAAACCGGACCAGAAAACCGGGAACCAGTCAGGTGACTGGTTTCGGTTGTTGATTTGGTCAGCAAGCCATTGACCCGGGTGGTTGAACCATTTGAACCGTTCAATAGTTTTGACCGTTTTTTATTTAAAAAAAAAATTAATTTTTTTATTTTTTTTGTCAGAATGGGCTGTCTGTTTAATTCGAACAGTCGGACCGTTCAACCCAAGAACCAGACCCTGACCAGTTCATTGTCCGGGTCAGTTTTAAAAATCTTGGATGCTACTGATTGCTTGCTTTCTGCACTAGATAACCACAACTATTTTAACTTAAGTCCTCCATTACTGTCCTGTACTTTAATTGCTGTCTGGCTTCATTGATTTCAATTTTCAACATTCAACCAGTTTTAACCATTAAATCCTTACAGGGTTAACTCTCTATTCAGAGACCTGTTCTTTTGACATCTATCCTGCAGCACTAGATTGAAATTATTAACCACTTCCAAAGTACAAAACTCATTGTGCAGGAACAGGGAAGAAAAAAAGAAAAGCAAGATTTCCTTTTCTGAGGGTCTATTGACCATAGCGAAGGTTTAAACTTTAAAGTATCAATACAATGCGACTGATACAGACCAATATACATCCAATTTGGTGGTCAACAGCAATATTCAATAAACTCACCTAATTGGTGTACTTGAATCCTGTTAAATTGGGCAGTGTTCTATAAGCTCACCTGATTTGTCACAGCACTTTGTTGACTCTTATTAAATAGACTATTTACTCTCATATCTAGTTCCTATTAAGTTGTATTTCTTCACTTATTTAACCTCTATCAAATAGGACATTCATTGTTTAAGTTTCATCTCCTAGTATTTAGTACTGTTTCTTACTCCTATGGCTAGAAGAGTTGGGGGTAAACCAAGGAACATTGGTTAAAGTAGTATTTAAGCATTCATAGTTTAATGGATATTAACATTAAATAGAATAATGGCAAAACAGGATACATTTAGCCGACCCATAGTTGGGATAGGGCTTGGATAATGATGATGATGTTACCAAAGAATCAAAATATGAGACAATACGTCCTGTATCAGGTGTAAGGTCACGGAGAGAGAGAGAAAGACTGGGGGTTTTGAATGTTTGGGATGGAGGGCATCCTCAACCTATTTGAGAATTATCAGGCTGAAAAATTAAAAAAAGAAAAAGGTCTATTGATCAATCGATGCACACGATACCCAAATCTTTGTATCATGCATGTTCGTATTTTGATCCTTGAATATACTCCGATTAAGCAACCACATTTGAACCCATTTAAGCTACATGATAGATACAGTCTCTACGGCTATACTACATGTTAACGAGTTGAAATGATATGAATTTTAATTATGTCTAATTTTCAACCCATCTTTATTAAATTCTCTTACCAATTAGTTCGTATTTCAAATAAACTATTAAAAAAGTTTTCTTATGTGTCTATATTTATTTGTAGTCGTTTGAACTTCAAATTTAGTTCTATTAATGCATATAATACATTTTGTTGGGATTCATATGAATGTCATCTTAAAATTGATTTTCTGATACAGATGCTTTAAACCTTGGCATAACAAGCGGACAGAGACTAAAGTAGTAGCTCTCAAATTGGTTTATTAATTCTTTCATTTTTCAAATAAATGACATGTTTCAGAAAATTGTAAAGAGAAATTGTTGAAATCACATCCTCCTACCCTTGGCAGAAAAATTTCAGTATCAGGGCAATGGCAATCTGCCATACTATTAAAAAAATTACTTAAATTTTGGTAAAATTGTCTAAAACTCACCATGACTTTTCAGTATTTCTCTTGAACTCATCCTAACTTTTCAAAATGTTGAGGGAACCATGTGTTGGTGAATTTTTATTTTCTAAAACTCACCATCTTTTAGAGCATTGTTAGTGTACATTGATAGAAGTTGCCCACATCAGCATAAATGCATTTTTCGTGACCAAACATCCCCTGAATGGCAAGTCAGCTTTATTAAATGTATTTTTTATGACTAAAATGCCCTTAAATTCCCAACTGTCTTATATATAAGATTTATACTCATTGAGAGAGTTTGCTGTCATTGTGCTGCTTGGAAGTATTCCAAATCCAAGGAAGTTGAAAAATGGGTTTTGGATCAAATAATAACATTTTTGAAATATTAAAAATTGGGTTAAATATAAAAAGGGTAAAATGGTAATCTATTAACACCCATTAATCTATTTATCGTCAAATTACTGACATGGAGTTCCTTGGATGTTTTAAAAAATTATGATGAATTTAAAAAAAAAAATGCTGAAAAGTCATGGTATCACTTCAGTCACAGACTTGGTGGTGTAACAGATTTCTATTGCTACAGAGGATGTGAACTCGAAATTGATCTAGTTTGCGACTCAAAAATTTCTGCAACTAATTAGTGGCGAAACAGAGCAAAATGGCTCGATGCTTATTTGAGGGAAATTCCTCCGAAGCTATCCGCTCGTCATGGCCTGGGTTGCATGTCCTAATGGCAATTACAGGTCAATGCCAGTTATGTCCAATCCATCGGCCAGACCCAGTTGAAAAGTTTTGGCCACTCCCGGCTTTTACATGTCAACCGGTCAAGCAAGAGAGCTCTGCCTCTCCGCGTTTAAAAGGCTGGACTATCTCTGCATGAGATGTTAGATCACCCAGACCCACCATGCATCCAGTACTAGAAATTTTCACCAAGTCGTGAGTCGTGTGAACTGTGAACTACCTTATCACAGGGAAAGGGCACGATTTATGGCCCAGCCTGTCGAGCTTGGCCACCCAAATTTTTACTAGTAAGAGACGCCTGGTCATTGAAGGGTCAGTTTTGGTTTGCAGTCAGAAACGGAATGATCTATTCCTATCGCCTGTTTGGTTCAGGAATGAAAATGAAAATGAAAATCAGTAGGTATGGAATTTCATTCCCAAAGGAGAGGGAGGGAATGGCCATTCCTTCAAATAGGAGAATGCTATACCACGAGTAATGGAAATGAGATTCCAATTCTGTCCAACCAAACAGTTGAACTCAAAATAGCCTATTTTGATTCCGATTCTGGACTCCTATTCCCACTAACCAAACAGGGCTAAAATTATTTGGGTTATGGACGGGAGAAATCATCCCATTACTTTTTTTTTTTCAGAAAATAAAAATGAAATTCCCCAATCTTGATAACTCACGTAAAACATTCCGATACAATGCCTTCCTCAAATCACAGAAAACGATCTTTCCATTTATGTCAAATTCTGAAATTCATGTAAGGGGCCACTTGATACAGCTGAAATGGCTGAACTACTTATTGGCTTGTCCATTTATGGACCAAGTAGTCATAATAAAACATTTGATAGAGCATAATTATTTTATCTTATGAATTATGACTACATCTGCTAAAAAGACAGAAATAGGCAATAAGTTGTTCAGTTTAGCCACTTTAGCCGTTACCAGTTGGTCACAAACTTCAAAATATCAGTATTGCAAACAGTACTAGTAGGCATTCTAGGATATGTATTTGAAATACATGTCGAATATACATGGATTCAGTGGAATGATCTGGACACAAGTCACAGAGATTATTAAATTTAAAACTCAAATTATTAATAAACAATCATACATTTCGATTGTTTATGTGTAGTAATTTATGGGTGTATTTAAAAAAAGCACTGAGAGTGGTTGAAGAAATGGATCCTGCATCCTGCACACAATGACACAAGAGGGCGTTTGCTACTTCATCCTCAGGACCATCAACAGTTTATCAGTTTTTCTTCAGAAGTTTCCAGTTAAAAAATGATCATAATAAGTTAATAACTCCATTCCTTAAACAAGTATTTGTATTTACCTTACAATATATCCTGTACTTGGTTGCCATTTCCGTTATTGGTTATGGCATTTGGCAACGTGGGACACATCCAGACAACAGCTGGCCTACTTAAACAGTGAGGGGTGTCCAAAAATTCTGAAATATCACTATTTTCAAAATTTCCATTTTTGTTTTCAGTTTGATCACTTTAAGTACTTGGTTCTTTCTACAACTGCAAAACAGTAACTGCTTCTAAACTTGTATGGGCTTCTTAACTTCTTTCTTCCCTTGGGAATAAAACTTTCACAACAAGATGTAGAATAGGATGGCCTGCCACCTTTCTGGCTTTGACCTGCAATTCATCTTCCAGTTTATATACATAGATATTACCTGATTGAGAGGTCCCCACAACTTGCTTAGGGAACTTCTACATCAAAAATATAATTAACTCCAGCATCTACTTGATAAAGATCAACAGGGTATGAGCAAAATTGTCAGCCTGCGGAGATTTGTGCATACAGGCAGCCAAAACGCATGACTAAATTGATGACTTGATGTCCTTGCATGATGAGCGTTATCAACACAGTCTACATAGTGGAAATATCAAGGGTCCTAACAATCCCAAAAGCCACACCTCCTTACAGGGAAGTAATCTTGCCACAGAAGCTGCAATCCATACAAGAGATGATTAGGACCAAGTAATCAACTGCAACCATAAAAAACATATTGCAGAAGGTCAAACTTGCAAAATATTTCCTATTTGGCAGACGTATGCACAAAAACAAGTAAAACATGTATATTCCTGTCAAAACACAATTAAACTGAGGAGCTTTAAATTTGATGGTTGCATTTTAGCTTAGAACTAAATAGAGAGAAATAAATACACCAGAACAGCACAAGAAAATAAGTGTGATAGAATAAACACCACCAAGAACACTATAATCAAATTAACTAAATCCATACCAAGACTGATCAGGCAGCTTTAAAATCTATGCAGGTCCTATACCATGCTTGGACCAAGATCCAAGAAGCATCTATCTGGATCTTGAATCTCACAACACCGGAAAATCCTACCAGATGCACATGCTCTGATTCACTGCTTATACGCTTAAGAGAATTGCTGAAGGGACCTCTATATTCTCATCCCAAAGGAGTACAACTAAATGACTAAAGGCTTTGAAAGGCCAAATGCACTCCCTACATGCTCACAGAAAAATTAGTAGAATTCATAATAAAAAATGGAGGTTTTCATTGTATCCCAATATCTCATTTCGTAGAGGTTTTGTAGCAGGGCAACTGATTCTTGAGAATTCCATTGCAACAATACATGATTTTGGAAACTACAGTGAAAACTCTGTAGTAGAGAAAGAGTATCAAGTAAAACCATTTTGGCGTTACACCATACATGCTAGATGCTACACAGAGGGTTTGATATTGGAAAGACAGAAATAAATGTCCATTTCCACAAGTATGACTGAAATATGCATATCCTGATTCATGATGTGAACCAAAGCAAAACATATTGTTCTTCAATAAATACAGAACATAAATTGTACATTAGCAGTGTAACTTACATGACGGGGATGGCAAAATGGGTGACAATACAGACTTAGACACTTCACCACTCCTCCTTTCTGATTCTGGACTGGGGCCATAAAACACCTTAGGCGAGATTTTTGGGGACAATTGTGGTGTATTATGCAGGGAAGGTTGATATAAAATAGCAGCATGAGGTGATAACTCTGGGGTAGATGTGTCAGAATGAACTGTCGGAGAAGGGCTTGGTGTAATTATGGAACCACTGCATGGACCCTTTCTTGGGAAACGAGATGGCACCACTGAGGGTGCAGGTGTCTTTGACACTGGAGCTGATGGAGGTTGTGAATCATGCTCAGGAGTTTTTGGATGGGCATTGTCACAGTTGAGACAGCGTGAGAATTGATGGTGAGGTGAAGGAGCAGGAGCATAAGATGGAGATGGAGATGGAGATGGAGAAGGAGATGGAGAAGGAGACCCATGGAGTGTACAGTTTAGAATAGATGACAAGCTTATCTCCTTCACTTTACCAAAAACTGAGTTATTAAGGCCAAGATTCTTTGCAGGAGGAGATCCTGTAATTGTCTGTGCTAGCTGCTTCAATCTCTGTGGAAGAAGGTAATGGTTCCCCGTAGCTGATATGACAGAAGCTTGTACTGTTACAGGTGGAGACAATGTTGAACCATTTTTGTTTGTCACCTGCACATACACATTCTGCATGCACAGAAAATGAAATCACTGATAGAGATAAACTTAACATCCAAATGCTACTCAAATTTAGAACTTATATGAAAATCATGCAAAAAAAAAAAAGTAGTAGAGCACATGGAAATACTTCATAGGATCTCAGATGCAACCCAAACTTCAGCTGGTCGTTGAACTGGTCAAAATTTTCCTGTACTTGAGAAACTGAGTTGTACAGAGTAAAGTTGAAAAGGATCTGCGGTATTTGCCAGATAGAAACAGATGGCCCGGGTATCACTGTGATTCCCCCAGGGAACTTCAAGATCTGAAAGAAAGATGGATGCCCGAAAATTGATGTTGTCAAGGACAGATTCATATGCCCCAGGACCAACTCTATCAAAGATGACCTCAGAACACTTAGGGAGACTGTATTTATTGGAACATTCTTCGGAGCAGGAAGGACACCAAAAACCACATCAGTACTGTTTGATACAACAGATCGGTGCAGAGATATAATAGAAACCTGTCAAGACAATTTTCTTTCAGATTAATAGGCCATCATTTCAAAATGAGTTACCAAAAATAGAATAGATGAGGCTTGAAACAATACTGTTGTGTTTGGCACTCCTATTTCTGCCAATATATCACTTTCTAGTGTTCCAATGTGGTGAACAAGCAATGAAACTGACTTTGGCAGTCTGAAGCTTGCTTGCACAGTAGCTGAAGAGAGAAACATAAGTGTCAAAAGAAAACAAAGGATGCCAGAAGTACGAACTCATCATATATATAGAAAGAGAATAAAAAAGCATGCTACCCAAAAGCAAGGATTGTAATTGATGCACATAAAGAATGCTGAAAATGCATTAATCTAATTTATTGTCTTATTCTTCTTTTGATTTGGAAATGAAATGCATCAGATCATTACTTTTCATTTTCTTCTTTTCCAGATTCAGCTTTATTTTGTTAGAAGACCTTACCACCATCATGAACCGAAGTCTAATCCTTCTCCTTGGTCAGTACAACAGACCAAGTAGAAGTTTATTTCTGCTGCATCATATTGGTTGTAAGAATTTTGCACAGTAAAAATAAAAGAAAAACATTGTTCAGAAATTACCAGAACACAACCTTCTAGACAAAACCAGTGGTTAAATATGAAAAATAATAGGGAGAAGTAAAGAACACAAAAAATTGATGACATATACCAGGGGATTTGAATCACATCCTAGAGTTCAAGTCACCTGGACAAAACATTGTATCATCCAAGAAGCATAGGAAAAGGATAAGAAGACAGTTGCAAGCACTAACAAGAGACTGTCAGAGCATCGACACTGTCTGGAATTAGAACGAAATGTAAAAAAGAAGAAGAAAGAAAGAAAGAAAAAAGCAACCTGGTATAAACAATCAATCTAATAGTATGTGGTCTAAGGCTTATGCTTTAGAATGTTTCTCTCTGTAGAGAATGACTTCTGTGATCCTCATGAAAAAAAAACTTTTTTTTTTCTTTTGATATAATTAATTTATCATTAGTTGTCATTATTTATAAGTTCTATGTTGTGTGGTTAGAATTATTTCACCTTTTTCTGAACTTTTCTTACCCCTGTAGGATAAGATCCCTTAAAAAATCCTTTGACAAAATCAATCCCTTAATATAGTTGATTGGATCATTTTGAAATTCACCAGGGTTGGGGGTGCATGGATTTGGAGGATGGGCCACCCCCTGTTGTGTAGCTCCATGAATCAAAAAAAGTCATTTTGAAAATTTCCATTATATGGATAAAAAGACTTTTAATGGTGAATAAAAAGAAATTTTGGTGTATACTTATATAAGGAAAAAAAACTATAGATTCTAACTTCCAATCCACCCCCCCCCCCCAAAAAAAAAAAAGAATAATAGATTCTAACTATAGATTATTGCAAAACATATGATCATAAAATAAATGAGAGGATGAACTGGATCATCATTATAGCTCAAAACAAGATCATACATAATAAGTTTGTAGTAATAAAACTTTATTATAAGATTCAGAAATTTTTTTACCAGGAAAAAATGCCCTTGATGATGTTCTAACGCTTGTGAATCAATTTCCGACCAGACAAGTTATAATTTAATCATTTATTACTGTTACTGATTATACTCCCGAGAAGAATAAACTTAACAAATAGCCACAGATTCTATTAACGAGGAACCAATAAGCAACCCAACAACTTTCCACTATGAACAAAATCAAATTCCATGTATAAGTCCTATAAGTAAACCACAGCTCCAAAACCTAGAAAAAAGATAAAAATAACGCATACACATCTCCCTCAAAAGATCAAAATCCCTAATTCCAGAACAAATATGCACTAAATGCCACGCAGAGAACGAGGGGCAGGAGACAGAATTACCATTAAGGTCAGGTGCATCATAGGCGTCAATAACGGATTTAAACGGATGAAAGGGAGGGAGCCATAGTACAGCAGAAAAGAAAACAGCGACACTAAGAATTAAAATGAAAATGCATTTGAAACTGATCGCTTTCCCGATTCTGGCCAAACCCATCGAACAACTTTCGCAGAAGAATGCCGAAGAGCCGCCACCTTCCCCATCCTGCATCTGCTGCTGCTGTTGAGCGTCGATTTTCCCCATTTGCAGAGCATCTGTAATCCCCCTCTCTCTACTGCAACCTGTTCTCTACAACTATGAAGACAAAACGAAGAGACGAAGAAGAAACCTTGATTTTCTTTTTATGGGCAAACGAAGAAGAAACTTGGGAAGATGAAAAAGGATACAAGGAGGGCCGTCGTGAGGACTTCTGCTTCTAAGCTGTATCCAACACTATATTCTATTTTTTTCTTATTTCTTTAATTTGGGCCACCCAGCGTTGGGGAGAAGCAAAGAGGGGTGGCAGAGAAAGAGAATAAAATATAAAAATCTTTTTTTTTTTTTATTTGTTTTCTGTATTAGTGACCAGTAAAGAAGTTCTAGTCCACTTGTTCAGTGTCTCCTATCAATCAAAATTCAAATTGGCGTAGTCAGTACTTCTTCTCACCCACTTCTACAACACACATTTTCCCTCCTTTTACATTCAATTTCATAATTTCTTTCTCTAACCCCTTGTTTTTCCTTTCGTTTCATTTTGACATTTATTCTGAGTGTTTAACTTGAATTGATAGTGTCATCTGAGCCGTACACTTGGTTAGTGAGATCAAACCCTAGAATGGGTGGGACCATCTCTTGGGTTGGGCATTGAAGGTTGTAATAATGAGAGCCTTCAAAAGTAGAGTTAAAACACAATTGTCTAGAAAGGGTCTATTTGGCCTGGTTTGATTGGATCATCTTCATGTAATTGATGATCACTGGTTTGATTGGACTAGTTTTCATTTAATTGATGACCCCACCATTAAAGGGGTCTGGATCAAATTATGAGTGATGGGGTCCATGAAGGAATATGGAGAGGTGATGCATCATTAGTGGTCTATTTGCTGATTTGCTCTAGAAACTTCCTGTAGGGTTTACTACCCTTAATGGAAGCAAGCCCTTAGTTGTCCTGAGTGTAAATGGTTGCATGACCCAGGACTTAAGTGGACAAATAATGGCCCAACACTCATCGCTAAAGAAATCTGACCCTCAAATGATCATAAGGTCCCACCATTAAGTCACTCTCTCAATGCTACAACTGCTGGATCTTAGCCTGTTGGGTCGTGGCCATACCCGGCCATAACCAAACCTACCAAGGCCCAAAGATGATGTCAGATTCAACCAACTTAAATGAGAAAAAGAAGGCTTGGTTGGTTGGTTCTTTGTCTTAAAACAGGTTAGTTGTAGATCTAATCAGATTGTACAATTTGGTGAATGCCAAACCAGAGACTACCCGGATCCAAATGGATCATGAGTCATGACCCGAAAAATGTTGTATTGGGTGGTTGTAATATAAAGTATTGCCACCAATACCATTAATTACTGTTATGTCGGGTTGATCAGGACATGGGGCAAAATAATCAACTCACAGTTTTCCAAAAGCTTATTATTCATTTTCATTTAAATCTGTTTTAGGCCAAACAGTGGCTTATTCCTTATAGAATACCTAGTTGCACAAGTGGCATAGATTTAGTCGATCTTAAAGTATGCTTAATTTAATCAAAACACTTTATTGGATCATGTCCATCGACCATGTATACATTAAAAAAATGTGTAGAATTAAAATAGGGTTCATTAAGTATACATAAAGGCAGTGTGTGTTACCAAGAGGTTGTTGATGGGGAGAAAGACTGTGAGCAGTGACCCATGTTATGGTTCAAGACCACACGAAAGCATCCACCCACCAAAGATTTTGATGGAACCACTCATGGTGGTTGGACTGTTGAGCTATATTTGTCTACATCTCTTCCTTCTTGGATAAACAATAATTTAATTGAATGAAATTGTGTGTTTGCAACCTTTTAATGGTTGATGAAAAGGGGAATTCTGCCAAAATGCGCATGTGGATTTTGAAACAAAGAAGTGGATTCCATCCAATCCATTGATATGGGAAGCGACACCTCAATTAATGTAATGTGGAATCAGATTCTAATATTTGACTATGTATTGTTATTCCTGTCTCCACCCACCAATGTATAGGCTAGAATATTTTTTCTTGTCGCCCTTCTTTTTAATTTATATCTATATCTATACCTATATCTATATTATTAAAAGTGTGAAAGTTTTATTTGATTAAAACATTCTAATTTTTTAATTTGGTTCCTCTCTAATTGTAAGATCATAAATATAATTTGAGCAATCACTTTTTTTTTGTTCAAATGATTTCTCTCGTTAGGTTTTATATTTAAAGTATTAACTTCCATAGTCCCATTAACATTTATTGAATTCTGTCCTTGACTAAAATACCATATTTTTTAATTTGTTCTCTCTCTAATTGTGAGACACAAAATGTAATGTGAACTATTATGGTTTTTCTCATTAAGTTTTATATTAGGGTATTAACTCCCAATCTTTCATTGGATCATATATTAATTAACCATATTAAAGAAAAATACGTTTGACAAATAAGAATAATTTTTATAGACATAAAAATATAAAAAAATTTTGAAAACATATTATTTACTATCATCACCATCACAAAAATTGTCATAAAAATATAAAAAAATAAGAATAATTATTGTATATTTATCATATTAAACGAAAATAAGGGTGAAAAATAAGAATAATTTTAATAGATATAGAAATGTAAAAAATTATAAAAATATTTGGAAGCATATTGTTTATTATCATCATCATCATCATAAATTGTCATGTACAAAACATGTGCACATGCTTACTAGTTGTATAGACCATGAAAAAAATCTAGTTATCATATAAATATGATCTGTATAACAATATATTGGTAGTTTAAGCTCGGATTCATCCAACGTATGAAGGCTAGGCTGGGATTGATTGTCAATGGGTCAGGTCTATCTTATAGAACCGATTATGGGTCTGTTCCAATTAATAATTGAGTTACGATCAACTCTTGTTGTTTTGAATCTAATTAAGGGTTTGTGTTCGTTTCCTCTAAATTCTTATCTCTTAAGATGAATCTTTTAATTTTAAGAGAAAATTATTTATTTATTTCCTCTTAGCTCTTATCTCTTAAAGTGCAATCATACAACTTTTTGTTTTCCAATGATACCCTTAAAAAGACAAACGAAAAACTCTCATATATGGGATCAAAATGGATATTTGATAGCTTTCAAAATTCATAACAACATTCTCTGCATTCAGAGTTCAGAGGAAAGAAAAGTTCACCAATACCAGTATACCTCTTAATGTAGTGCTTGTTTGGCAAATCTTTTTCAGAAGATTTGTTACAATATCTAATAGTTAAAAGACAAGGTGAGCTTTTGCAAATAGATCTTGGAAGACCAAAGACTGTTTGGTTGAAATATTTTTCATAAATCTCATGAAAGACCATAAAAGCTAAAAGATTGTTTGGTAATGTGATGAAAATATGTGTTATGTATATATGAATGTTTTGTGTGTGTGTGCCAATAAACCTTTCATTTAACACATAAGACCCACATACATTTTCTAAGGTGGGCCCCATATACCATTGGTGGACATGTATGTGGGGCCCATATACATTTTACAAGGTGGGCCCAACATACCATTGGTGGGCATGCATGTGGGGTTCATGTGTGGACATGTATATGAGGCACACATTCATTTTACAAGGTGGGCCCAACACACCATTGGTGGACATGTATGTGGGACCCACATACATTTTACAAGGTGGGCTTGACATATCATTGGTAGACATGCATGTGGGGTCCATGTGTGGACATGTGTGTGGGGCCCAAATACATTTTTTCAAGGTGGGCCCCACATACCATTGGTGGACATGTATGTGGGATCCATGTGTGGACATGTATGTGGGATCCATGTGTGGACATGTATGTGGGGCCTACATACATTTTACAAGGTGGGCCCGACATACCATTGGTGGACGTGCATGTGGGGTCCATGTGTGGAAATGTATGTGGGGCCCACACACATTTTTCAAGGTGGGTTCCACATACCATTGGTGGACATGTATGTGCGGTCCATGTGTGGACATGGATGTGTGGCTCACATACATTTTACAAGGTGGGCCCCACATGCCATTGGTGGACATGCATGTGGGTTCATGTGTGGACATGTATGTAGGACTCATACATTTTTCAAGGTTGACCCTACATAGTACATAATGTGGGCCCCACATATCATTGGTAGGTCCCACTTACACATTCAATTAGTTTTTTTGTGAAAAGATAACCCATTTTTTCCTAAGCATGTGCATCGTGGCACACGTTGGAAGAAGATGAAGCACTAAAAGATTGTAAAAGCTTCATTTGAAGCTTCTTGAAAGAGCCCGAATTCGGGCTGCTAGCATCTTTTATGGGCTGGAGCTTTTTCCCAATAGATATTTCCATTGCTAAACGGGAAAAGCCCATAATTCAGACTTCTGGGCTTCTAAATAGCCCGAAGCCCGTGCGAAAAGACTTGCCAAACAGGGCCATAATTATTACACTTTCAAATGTCAGACTTTAGAACAAATGAACAGGCCCTAAGACCCATACCATTTATATAATTAATAATATATAAAATCCTTCATTTTTTTTTGTATTTTTTATAATTTATGTCTAAAGGGGAAGTTTTATAAATGGTATATAAATTAATTATATTAAAAACACATATTTTTAGACACAAAATAGTATTTTACTATTCGTTTTATTGAGGTCATTTTATCACTATGAAATTTTAAGTTGCTATTACCATTTCTAGTTACATGGCCCTTATTCATGTTTATTAGCTTCTGGTCCCCTATTCATTTTATTATAGTTTTTGGCCCCCCTCAAGAAAAAACCTAACTCCACCCTTGGTGCCAAGTATAATTAGGTTAAACTCAATTTTCCTAATTAATAATTGGTTCAATTTTGGATCTATCTTATAGTCATGATCAATAATTACAATGAGACTGGAACCAAATATGGATTGGTTGAAGCCAAGTTTGAGTTCAGGCCTTAGATAGTCATCCTACTCATCCCCACCATTGTGCAAGACGAATCGAAAAGGGCATCAAATGGTGTGAGTTGTGAAGTTCAACCTATTGAATAGATAAATTGGATTGTCCCACCAGCTTCTCAAATTAGTGATAACAACTTTTGTGACTCCTACTTATCACCCACAATTATGTTTTAAATGTCAAATCATAATCGCGATAAAAGTTGTCTTTACACATTCAAAACATCAAATTCAAATCAAAGCAGCAATATAAGTGATATTGTACAATAAAAGCTTGTACGTGGAAATATAAATCCAATGGGCAATATTTACCATCAAAAGTGTTCTTATGGTTTGCAAATTTGA